ATTTCTTATTATAACCATTAAACTATAAATATATTTTAAAAGTTGATAACTTTTGTATTGTTTATCGGCTTTGGATATATAATATATTGTTGTTATGTGATTATTAACAACGATTTAATCTATGATTAAGGAAGTAATTGGGGGTGATTTTTAACGTAAAGCATGTAAGAGTGAATCAACGATGGCCCCGGTCCGAGGTGAACCGAGGTGAAGAGCCGTGATGGGCTTTTTCGCGTTACGTAATAAAGGGTTTACAGTTCGGTAATTTCCGAAAAAACTCTCCTTACAATTGCCATAGGTCCGCTATTTATAGTAGTTTTTGGGTTGAGGCATCGGGATCCGTGTACCACTTTTTGGAATAAAGTAGCTTTTTATGGGCGGTTCGAGGCAGAGGGTCCCACGCAAATGATGACAGATCTTGTGGAGTAGAAGGACCTTACGTAGATGCCTTGTCACCTGCTTAAGGAAATGACGACCTCGGTTCATGTTGTCCTCGGGGGATGTTGACCTCGGTAATCGTCGGTCACTTCGGTCTTTGGTGGTTCAGACCGGTTCTTTGGGTGTAGATCGGTGCGGTTATGATTCATGTCGGTTTGATGGTTAATTGCGCTTAATAAGATGCTCAAAACCTCTTAACAGCGTCTTACCGAGTTGGATGATAACATATATCAAATTAATCATCTTTTGATGATCGTGAGCTTCGATTTGACATCCATATTGAATATATAAAATATATAAATTTTATTTGTCTTTATGATAATAATAAAATTATTTATTAAATTAATTAAAAAATAAAATTATTTCTGAAATATTTATGTCTAATGCAGTTACTAGTACAACACCCGTGTATTACACGGGTGCTTGTTAAAAGATTATTCTTAAATTTTAAAACTAATGAGAAAAGTATATTAAATTTAGTTTACTTTTTTACAAAAAAAATATATTATTATGTATTTTAGAATGATATGTGTTACTTATGACTTACATGTGTTATATTATATTAGTTTTTATAACTTATACTCCCTCTGTTTTAAATTACTTGTCGTTGTAGTTGAAAAAAACAAAATTACGCGTTTGAAGAAAGTAGTTAATTTTTTCTTAACTCTCCTAAATATTAGTAGTATTTTCTCTTTCCTCCTCAATTTTGTAATTATCAATAAAGAATTTTGCGTGTAAATTTTCATCACCTAAACCCCAATTCTACTAAATGACAATTAATAAGAAAAAAGAATCATACCCTCCAACGACAATAGGAAACAGAGAGAGTATCATATAACTACTTGAAATATAAATATATTAGTTGATAAATAATTTTATTTTTTTAATTAATATTAAAAATAATTTTATTATTATTATAAATATAAATATATTATTTTATACATACAATATGGATGTTAAATCGAAGCTTATCAAAAGAAGATTAATTTGATACATTACATATGTAAAACTGATAAAAAAATACCAAAGTTATTAATTTTTAAAATATATATACAATTCAATAGTTATAATAAAGAATAATATTAAAATACAATTAATACATGTAACATGACCATATATAAATAATTAACATATTTATGGTAATCCGAACCTAATTATTTTTGGTTTGGAATTGAATTAGAATTTACCCAAGCCTAATAACGAAACATGTAATTTTGCCACATAGGATTTCGAAGCACCAGAAACAGCCACGTAGGCTCAACACGTTCTGTAATTATATATAGGGGATATGATATAAGTTAGAAAAATTATTAAAATATAACACAGATAAGTCACATAAGGAACAAGTATCATACTAAAATATATAATAATATATGTTTTTCTATAAAAAAATATTTAACTTTTCAACACTTTTTCTCATTAATTTTAAATTTTAAGGAAAAAAAAAATAGCAAGCACCCGTGTGATACACGGTATTGTACTATTTTTAAAATAAATCTCAATCGAAACTACATATTTATTTATTATTATTGAATCTATATCTATATATATGTAATTGTAAGCTATTCAACTAACGTGGATAGCCTACTTTTCCCGCTAAAATCATTTTTGGTCTAAATATGGTGAGTCTTCTTTTACTTAATTCAACATTTACGTTTTTTCCTTTTTTTTTTATTAATGAACCTGCGTAACAAAATGTTATCGGTTAAAGTATTATTTATTATCATTAATTTTTAAATTTCCTTTTAATCTGAACTTCTCTTTAAAAATAGCCAAAAAGTAGAAAAAAAAATAATAATAAATTTACCAACAATCAACATTAATATTCTAAATGGTGTACAAAATCCAACTATACCCCATAGCTCCAATATAATATCATTTCCTCTAATATCATTTCCTCTAACCCGTTTAGATATATATTCCTGCAAATGATGATAAAGATTAGTGATATTAAATTATATAATAACTAATTTCATTTGTAAATGCATGTTAATATTATATTTTTATCAAATACTAAAATCAACATTATATAGATAAGTAAATGTTGAAAAAATAAAAGCTCATTGGTTATAATAACATTGCATCCAAAAACAACAACTAAATATTCAGAAAATCAATACTACTCATAAATTGCGAGAAAATCAACAACACATTACTATATATTGATTTTGGTCCAATTATTTGTACGATATGTGATTTTTAAATTCTTACAAACGATGGAATTGACTAATTTTATATACATAAATATTATCACGTGATTGATTTTTTTAATTTATTTATGTAAATTATAAAGTTTCATTTGGTTAATTAAATTTGAAATTTCAATTATAAAAAATCAAGAACTGAGATTATGGCACATTTACTAGACAACCAATATATTTTTATCTAAAAATAAAATCGGCAGTCCAATAAATTTATTGTATCTTTGACTTTTCATATTTTCTAAGATATAATAATATAATAATTATTACATGAAGAATCAAAATTTTGACTATAAAATAAAAGCCTTAGTTGGCTGAACATATTTTTTCAGTTACAAAAATCATATCAAATGCGCCACTATAATATAGTTCATATTTTTTTCAGTTATCAAAATATTTTAAACAATAATCATGTTCTGGATATGTTAGTAATTAGTTAATAGACATCTGTAGATGCTTATACATAGAACAAAAATCAGACACATTTTCGCCTTGCATTTCCACACTTATAATCTACCGAAAAAACTATTTCAACACAAAATATTTCTTTTGAGTTCCAAATGACAATGCAATTTGATAAATATGATTTTTTTGGCTAAGAACAAGAAAAAAAAAAACTGCAATATTGCGATTGATTCGATTTTGATCAAAGAAATTTTCGGCAAACAAAGAAATAACTACTGGACTGGAGTTTGTTTTTCATGATGTTGAGGCATGTATAAAATGTTTATATAGAAAACTCAATTACATTTTCACATATATGTCGACTTTTTAGAGTGTGCATATTCATGCATCAACAGTACCCTGATGCTTGGCAGCAAAGTTCAAGATGTTTGAACTTAACAAAAGTCGTATATATGGGGGATTATGCACTTCAAATAGTTTCGTCATTAATAAATTAAAAGCATGTCTACGACGGCTAAACAAAACCGGAATCGATTTGAGTGTTTGTCTCCGATGAGAGAAAAAAAATTAAACAATGAAGAAAAAATGATGAAAATGTTGCAGGTGGTAGGGTTTCATGCATTAAAATACTTGCCTCTGCCACCTTTTTGAATGTTCTACACTTGTGTGGTGAATGAAACTTTGACCGTGCTATGTGAGTATGTGCATATAGGTTATGTTTAATTTGGCCCAATTTTGGGCCGAAATAAAATAATAAAAAAATGAAACATCGGCCTTGATGTTACTAAATTGAATTCAAATGAAACCAAGTTTATTGGGCCCAATTTTGGGCCGGGTAAAAAATATCTTATTGTTTGATTTTGTTTGGGCTTTGTTAATAAAACAATAGAATGCAAATGTTTGGGGGCTTAAGTTACCAAAAAAAG